TATTATAGATATTAGCTGTCTGCTATATGTTTTTTTAGTGTAAATTCATAGCTTTTATTTTGCAATCAATCTTTTCTGATTGAATGACAGCAATCAATTTATTTGCTTATTGTGGACAAATGAATGAATGGTAAATTTTATCTCTGTTCAATTATTTGACAGGAACGATATTAATTTTATTACTACGGTTACCACCTTCAAATGAATTTTTTATATGCATATTTTGAGAAATTCTTTTTGTTTTTTGTTTTGTATTGTTTTTCACGCCTTGAGAATTTCATTATAGTAAATCACCATAAATGACTACTTGAAACATTGACAAAAAACAAACTATGAACGAAAACAAAAGTAAAACAAACATACAAAAAAATTGAACAATAGATCAAAGTCAAACAAACGTCAAAAAAAAACATTAGAAAAAATAAAAGAATATCAGAAAGTTTCGAATTTCAGAACCGTAAACAAATAATATTGATTCTATTTTTTTCTTCACAAAATGTTATTATTTTTATTCATTATAAAAAAAACAATGAAAGAATTATTAATTGTAGTTTCCTTCATTAAATATCATATATCCATTATCGGATAAAGAGGGCAATTTTTATCGATCACTTTCGATTCAAACAGATTGGATATCTGAACTGAGAATATGGAAAAGAGAATTTTTTTTTCTCCCTCACAAATAAATGTGGCCATCGTTTTTTTAATACTCAAACATTTTATAATGATGAATTCTTTGAAACAATCAAAGCTTGTTATTGTTTTTTTCTTTGCCTGCCACATTTAATGAGTCACAGCGTTTGATTGATGCAATGAAAAAAACACTAAATAGAAGCTAGAAAAAAAATGTTAAACTAATAATATTTGTTTTTTTCGGGCACAAAAAAACATTTTTTTTGGAAAGGAAAAAAGTTTCAAAAATGATCGTAACAGTGTGTGAATGTGGGTGTAAAAAAAAACAATTTGAATTTCAAATTCAAAACATTTTTATTTATTGTTTTCAAATACTTTTTGCTTTCATTCTCTTTATATAGGACAAATTTATATTCTCAAAATGAATTATGATGACGATGATGAAATTTTGAGAAAACTTTGTTGTTATTTTTTTTCACTTTCACAAGAATTATTTAATTTTTTTTTTGTCTACCCATTTGGAATGGAACAAGAAAATGCCTTCAAGCCTATCGATTTCTTGGTAGAAATTATTTCTGTTTTTTTTAGTTGAACAGTGTTAATCAAAAAAAACCAATTGTTCTTTTTTTTCATAAATTATGACAAATGTACTGGATGTAATATAATATTCTGGAGATAGAGAAAGTTTAACATTTGAAAAAAACGAAATGATAATGGCATTTTTTATGAATTAAAAAATACTTTTTTTTAACAGGAAACAAACAATATTATGGCTCAATTATTGAGTTAATTCTGATTAAGTATTCAAGTGAATCATTTTGTGAAAATAAATTCAATCATTAATGAATGATTATGTATGAGTAAAATCAATTTGGATTTTGTTTGCGCTCATTATTATTGTCCATCAATTTTTAATGGCTTTGAATAATCATTTTGAAATTACTTCTATTCATTTTTGTTTATAATGACCAATTTTATGATAGATAAAATTTATTATATTAAGCAAATTTAGAATTGTTTTGCATTCTCTATTTTTCTTTGTGTGTTTATAGTGCATGGTAAAAATCTTGGCTTACAATTTTGATTTGAAAAAAATCGAAATTCCTCTGGATATGCTTGACAAAACTATTAACAACATTACGTAACAATTTTGCAACCTAATTTTGTTGATGGAAAATTCAATCCAATTTTGTTCATGAATGAAAAATAAATGTTCCAGAATTGTGAACACATGAACAATTCATACGACATTTTTGATAATATTTTATAAATGTCACAACAACATATACACACTGTTAGTTAGGCAATAAAGTTCATTTAAGTTTTTCAATATTATGATCATAGTTTTGACATTCTTTCAGTATTATGACCATTAAAAACATTTCATTCATCCAAGTTGATCATCAGAATTGTACCAGATTTATTGCGAATCAGTAATGAAAAAAATAATCATACAAAAATGCCAATAACTTGAAATTTTATTCCACATAATTTCTACGATTAACATGTCAATAAATATTGATGATCTTTTTGCCAAATGTTAATGATTTCATGTACGATAATAATGATAATAACATGAAAAAGTTAGAACAGATTATTGAATTTTGTTTTTTCATTCTTTTAACGAAATATTGATCAAAATCTTATGAAATAAATTGATTCACATAGATAAAGTTCACAAAGAAAATTGAAATTGGTAAATTTCAATTTTCATTGTTTTTAGTTATCGAACAAATTAACAAACAAAAGACAAAGATAGCAAAGATGCATTAATGATAATAGAAAATTGTTCCATTCTAATTCTACTTGAAATATTCATTAGTGATTGTTTGTTGCATAGTAAATTTCTTTCTCTTATTTATTTATTTAAACATTCTAGTCACATTCTTTAACAACGGCAAATATATTACGGAAATTGTATTCTTTTTTTTCAAAAAAAAAATTCTTCTCCATCATCACTTTTTTTCCTAATAACATCATGCTGATTGTTGTTTTTATCCTTTTTAACAATGGTCTACAATAACAAATGTTGTTATTGTTATTCATGTTGGATAACAGATAATTTTTGTATAGAATTGAAATACAAGATTAGTTTAAAAGGAAAGAAAATCGACTTTTTTTTCATTGCAAGGATGCAAACAAATGAATCTTTCAATCTCGAACTATTAAACTATCGTATGGAATTGTAACGGAAATTTTTTTCCCGAATTAAATTGTTGTTTTTTTCAAACTTAACTTCATCTTTTCAGTGTTTATCTCTCAGTGTGAACGAAACACTATAGTAAACATAATCACGTTTTAGGATGTTTTTTGTTGTTGTTTTGTTTGTTGGACAATCATTTTTACAAAAAAAAAACCAATGAATGTTGAAATTTTTCAACAATAAAAAAATTGAATAAAATCATTGGATTATGGTTATTTTTTCTTTCAATCGATTGATAGCCAAAATAGATAGCATATCGAATTATCAAATAATTTTAACAAAAAAAAAACATATTGAATTCAATTATTTTCGCATATTGAAATTATTAGTTTAAATTTTAAATATATTGATCATTCGATTCATGAAATTCCATTTCAAGATTGAATTGATTTTGAGCTACCACACAGGAAAACGGAACGAATTTATTTTATTTTATTCAATCTATTTTTAATCTTGATTCTATTGAATTTAATGTTACGATTTAAACGTAACAATAAACATACATGGAAGACATTCAATTTACATTACAAAGAAAAATTTGGATCTGGAAACCAGAATGATATTTTTTTTTGTATGTTAAAATCACTTTTACAATGGATGAAAAAAAAAACAGACATCAACATTGAAAACCGAAAATTGAGATTCTGATAGAAATGAAAAAATAAAGATAAACGTCAAAGACATAAAAAAAAGGATAACATGTTTTTTTTGTGATACTGTTCTCATTACCAGATCATTTTCTTGGTAATCTTTTTTTTCAGATAAATATTTAATTAATCAGGATTTCATTCAACCAAGTTAGCAACCAAAAAAAAGAAAAAACGTTAACTGAAACAAAATACAGAAATAGAAAATTAAAAATTAACTTTCAAATCAGTTTCCTTTCTTTTCAATTTTTCATTTCCAAGTTTTGTCACATGTGAATTTCGACGTGATCCGAACGACCTATGTATAATGTATGGTGGACAACAATGGCAAAAAAAAACATTTTAAAAGTAAAGCCAGGTGAGATGATGATGATGATTTGGCTATTTAAAAATCATGAATTGAACTTCTTATTTCCATTAACATTTATCTAATAATAAGAATATACAAGTTTTGTGAATATAATCTGAATTTTTTTTTACAAAATTTGGCCTGACCTTGTACATTTCCTTTTACCCAAAATGAAAGCCAAGCCTACACCGGTGTTTTAATGTGTAGGTAGTTTGAATTGGTCAAAATAGTTTGAATTAGATGATATAATAATAATTTAATGTCAAGTCATCGAAATTTTTTGTTTTTGTTTTTTGTCCATAAGTTTTTAGTCTGATGATGATGATGATGATGATAATTATGATAGTGGAAAGTTCATCCGCTATCTAAATGATTAAATTCATTTTTGATAAATTTGATGTCAAGCAATTTTTACAAATTTCCTGAAAATCAACAAAAAACAACACAGAGTACCGAGAAAAAACATAGACACACACCCATTCATGAACAGATGTTGGCAATCAATTATATTGTCACCAACAACAACAGGAATAACAGAGATGAAAATATCAATCAGTCTGCGGCCTAACCAAACAAAAGTTTGTGAAACCATGCAAAATGTGGATGAATAAAAAAGTGTGTGTGGGTGAAATTTCCTTTCATTACATTGATTACTCAGGTAAGTTCATGCTTTACAACCACTTGTTTTTTTGAACGTCTACCATTAGGGTTGTGGTGTGTGTGTGTGAAGGTATGGGGTATCGCATATGTCTCAATCGAACATCAAAGATTTGGATTTTTTTCTTTCTTTCTCTCTCTCTCTCATTTCAAAAATTCAATGTTTATGATGAAATTATTTTTCATTCGGATTTTTTATCATCAGATTTATAAACTACCACCACAACCACAACCACACCACACCATTGCAAACATCCAATAGCAGACTATTTATAAATAAGGCTATCAAAATCATTATTCCATTCAAAGCAAATTTCGAAGCAAAGCAATTGATCTTGGCCATTTGTTTCGTTTTTTGTTGTATGGATAAATGAATGGCATTTTTTTTGTTTTGTTGTTAAATTCATCGTGATGATGATCGAAACCATGCAAACAGAACAAACCGAAATATCAAACCAGAAAATTCGCAAGTCAGCGATGGTTTCAGTTTGTTTATTTCCAATTTTTCCATTTCAGATTTTGTCATATCTATACTTTGATTAGCAAAATAAAAAATATGAAAACTTTGGGCAAATCAAAACTGTATATTTTGTTTTCGGCGATTTTGATTGTTTTAGGTGAAAGCCAAACAAAACAAAACAAAAACATGATCATGCTGCGCGCCAACATTGTTTCGGCCAAATATTTTTTTCACCGCTAAGCAACACCTAAAAAAAACTTTTGAAAAAAAACAACTAATTAAGTTAATTACAACAACAAGTCAATGAACCTTCGTTGAAAAGGTAAGTATTTTTTTTATTCTATTATCCGTTTCATACAAGGTCTTCAACATGGGCCAGAAAATTATATTCATTCTTATTTTCATTTTCATTTAATAATTCTATATGACATATTCTATCATTTAACCTTATGAAAAAACAAAGCAAAACCAAATTAATCTAAATTATTTCATTCATTCATTGAATTAAACATGCATCATAGACCATGAAGAATTGAAAAAAAAAACAATAATAATAGGAATTTATCCTGGGAATCAGGCAAAAAAAAACCCAGAAAAAATTACGATTTCTTTAGTGGCCTTGAAATTTTTATTCCCTTCTCATTTCATTCAATAATTATTGCAACACTTTTTCTGGGAATCAGTCATTTCTAGAAGATTTTCTTCTAATTCATTATAAAAATATCTTTGTTTTTTTCACAAGAAAGAATAAAATCCCAAGAATCAAAATTGACTAAGAACATGACCGATATTTGTTTCGTTTAAAAATGATGATGATGATGATGAAATTGGATTCATTAATTCTTTACATTTAAGTTCAAATCATCATCAAAATAAAAAAAATTGAAAAAAATCAATAATAATTAGAACATCAGGTTATGTTCTTTTCCCAATGATGATCAATAGTAATGAGTTTTCTTTTTCTGATTATTTTTTTTTCATATCGGATCAATCATCCTTCAAAAAGTTCAATCATTCGATTGACATTCATCCTGAAAAACTATCTATGTCAGTGAAATAGTAGTATTTATCTAAGATTTTCAATTTCTTCATCATTTCAAATCATCTAGTATTCATGACAAAATAGATTGAAACTATTACGAACATTATTTTGAACGAACAATCATTATATGTATGTCAGACACATGATGTTGATGATGATCATTACGGAAGTGTCAATAAAAAAATGCCGATTCAAAATATGTATTTCTTTTCATAACATTTTTTTTCATTTGAACAAACAAACAAACAAATCAAAAAATCAAAATTGCCATCAGTAAATCTTGATCATTGGTCATTTGAACACGAATTATGTGCGAACAAAAAAAAACAATTGATCCATCGATCAAATCAAAGTTTTGAAGAATGAAAACAAAGAAAAGAACATTCGATCATATCGTTTATCGATTAACAATCTAATCAATCATTGATTGTCATTTTTTTTTGTTTTCTTTTGATTACAACTTCCATATACGATTTATATAATAATTATATATACAAGTGATTTAACCATCTGTTGGATCACCCATTCTATTATCATATTTGTTTGCGAAAATATTGGCCATGGCCACATTTTGTTGATTTTCCATTTGATAATAATGTTTTTTGTTGTTATTTATTGCAAAACAAGAAAATTCAAAATCATAGATCAACAATCCATATGGTTTGTGTCACAAACGATAATATTATATGCACATATAATAATCATTTCATCATTTTTATTTGTTTCTTTCAATGATATAATACCAGTATTCATTTCATTTTGATTTCGTTTTGACTTCTTCTTCAAAAAAGATCAAAATTTTGACGTATCAAATATACACGATGCAATCAAGACAATTGTCAAGATCATCATCATAATTTTGAGATTAACTTTTACTTGTGAATGATAATATGAATAAAATGAGACAAAAAGTAGTAGTAGTAAATAAGTAAATCATCATCAACATCGTGATCATCATCATCATTATACGAACATCCGTTTTCATTCATATTTTTTTTCATTTATTATCATTATCATTCGCCAATAATAAAAATTTTCTACAGACATTATTAAAAGAGTTGAAGAAAATCAAAAAAACATTTTTACCTCGCAAATTGTTGATTATATTAGACAATAATTTTTGAAACTCACCAAATGATTATTATCCATATAATTATATTTTGTACATGTGCATTTATACTTTCGTTTCAAATGTATTGTCAATATTCAAGGATAATTTTTTTTGTTTTGTTTTTATCATCATATTTATTGTAGCTTGTGAAATGGTAGTGATACAATACAATAAAATGGCCAATCGTTTGAATTCAATTTACGTTCGTGTATATGTCATCCATTTTCTGTGAAGAAAAACAAATGCGAAAGAATTTTAAAATGAAAAATAATTTTTTTTTTTTTTTGAACAACGTCATTTCGATTGTCGATGTAAAAACAACCATATTTTTTCACAATTAATGATCATCCTTTTGTTTTGTTTGTTTGTTTGTTCATCTTTGAATGATAAGAAGATTATATCGTTATATAAACTTTTAATGAACTTTTTTTGTTTGTTTTTTTGTTGTGTTCATTCTCATTTTGATTCTATCAAAAAAAAAGTTTATCGGTATTATTCTGTTTTTGTGTGTGTGTGTGAGAGAGAGAGAGAGCCACCTTTAAATATATGATTATTTTCAAATCAAAAATCAAAGTTTTTGTTTTGATTAATATTCGAATAATTGGTATGGATTCGATAGTAGAGATAATCATCAAGGTCATGAAAAAAGATATTTTTTTTTTGCTATTGCCAATTATAGCCATTCTTGTCGAATGAAGAATGACTCTATGATGAATTATATTAAAATATGATGATGAGAGACACTTTTTCAAAAGAAAAAAAACCAATTCTTTATAAATAAACAAACAAACAATTTTGTGAAACAGTACAGAATTTCCTCTATATATTCTGTACTTATGTACACAAACACAGATATTTTGACATTCAAGATGAAATGTTTCAGAAAAAAGATTGCATTTTGAAAGCTAAACTTATACAATAATGATTTCAGCTAACCAAATATTTGATGAATGCAAAAATATTATTTCCCCAGTATCGAAACACGATCATATATTTGTATTGTTGTTAACAAAACAAAAAATCGATCCAAAATTGACACATCCATTCGAATGAACCTTGAATTCTTTATTTTCCAGTAGCTAATCTTATCCTTGTCATTTTTATTCACTATTATTATTAATAATTCTCTTTTCATGATTTTTCTATTTTATTTTCTCTTTAGTTTTTTTCTTTCTCCATTTTTTTTCACCATATATTTGTATACATCCATTAAAAATGAAGAAATTTTTGTCATCATTGTCTCTCTTGTTTTTCTTTTCAAATTGAACGATATTATCTTTAGCTTTCTCTCTTTTTCTCTAACTTTTTCCAAAATTACTTTATGCCGTATGGTTCGCATTTCATTCGATTTTCTGTTCGTAAGTGTGTTACATTCATCTTTTTTCTTGCTATCACAAACAAATACAGCCAAAGTTTTTCTTTTTGAATAATATATTCAAAAAGAAAAACCAACTAACCAAACAAGCTTTTACAATTACGCCAGCTATCCATCTACGCTATATGAATTACGAATCAACAGTAGTAGTTCAATTTAATGAAATGATTCTACACCCCAAATGAAGAAAAAAGAAAACAAAAAATAGCAACATCAAAGAAGACGGAAAAAATATGACTGACTGATTTAACTTGAACATCGAAAACCCAAATGGACAAACAACATCATTCACATTATTTAACATTCTCATCATTATCATTTTAACCATGGCCAAAAAGATCGAATATTTATTGAATGAAATAGTGTGTGTGTTCGTTAATGTAGAACAAGAAGAGAAAGTGAAGTTTGTTTTTGAAATTATTATTATTTAGCTGAGATTTTTAGTGTATATATTCAAAAGACATTATAATTCGTTTATATAAGGTTAACAAGCATTTATGTGAAAGAGAACAAACAAAAATAAAGAGAGTTCAAAGTACGCCCGAATAACATCATCATCACATATGCTACGATTATTCAACAAGAGACAACCAACAACTATGAATAGTGTCCGTGTCCGTATATTTGTTGCTAACAACAAAAGTGATGTGTCTGTATGATGTGTTTGTGTTTGAGAAAAAATTAGTGCGGAAAAAATGATGATGATGATAATAACCGCATGACGCACGCGGATATGATCAACATGATGATGATGATATTTTTTTCGAAATGATTTCATCTAGAATCATCATCCATTCGGGTATATAGTCATAGTTGATTGTCGTATAATTTTTCAAATTTTTTGTTGTATAAATCTGTGTGTGTGCTTGTTCCATTTGGAACATTCAATTGAATTGAAATTGTTTTCTTTTTTCTGGTTAGTTTATATTATTGCCTCTTCCACAAAGTTGGTTCCAAAACGACAATGACCCTTCCGATGTTTCATATTGTTTCAATGGGTGTATATAAATGATGGTGGTGTTGTGTGAGTGGTAATTATCTTTCTGTAACAACAAAATATATACAAATTCGTTATAACAGTGAGCGAAAAAATTTTCTAGAAAAAATTTCAAATGTTCCAGAAAAAAGTTTCCGGAAAACCATGTTTCAGGAACAATAATAAAAATTAAACAACAACAACAACAACAATGAAACATTCATTCACACGAATGTAAATGATCGAAACAAATAGAAAAAAAACCGCCCAAATCTCCAAGACTACAATCATTTTGAATAAATAATTTTGAAAATAACTATTATTTGAAAAAGACCAAAAACATTTCATATTAATACTTTTAATTTTGGGTTTTTTTTTTCTTCAAAATCAATTTCAACTGATCCACAATCATCAGCGTCAACATATTAAAAAGAATTATCTATTTACATAAGTTATTATTGTTTATTGTTGTTGTTGTTGTTGTTCAGTTCGTAATCCATATCCGTTTCAAACAACAACAATAATTTATTGCTTCACAATTTATCTTTTATTTTGTTTTCAATGATTTTGTTTTTATGTTCAAGTTTTAATGCAATATTGTTTTTTTTAATATTTGTGTTAGTGTGTGTATCAGTGGAAATATATAAACCAAGAATGTTATTGTTTTCGATCCAAAATAAATGAATGAAATTTTTTTTATGTATTCTTAAAATCTTTTTAAAGAATATTATATGTATGTAAATCAAAATGGTTAAATACTTTTGATTTGGTCATAATCGATCGATACAGCCAACATTTTTATTTAATTATCATTATTT